AGGCCTTGGGGATTTATCGTGCCAACTGCCTTTAAAGACACATGGTACGCTCAAACACATTGAGGGTGTATGAGACTATCAGCCCCCCAGCTGTCGATGTGTCGTGGTCCCCCCGCCCAAAACTGCACGGGGTCAGAGTACGGGGCCGTGGGAAAGTCGTAATTCCTTGCTACACCGCCCTCACGTTTATGCTAACACCATCCGCGCGGCGCGGTCGCGTGCAGCTCTCTTGGCTTGCCAAGTCCTGTAATTGCGCTTTGGAATACAAGTACAACGCAATTTCTTTATGCGGATAACATTTTAGGTGCTGCAAAATAAGAACGAAGATGCAAAATAAGAACCGAAGATGATGACAAGGGCTAGAACTCAAGAGCAACTGTGGTGCTTCTGCAATATCCCTCAGAGGCCGCGCATTCCCACAGAACATGACAATAAAAACGGACAACATGACAATAAAACATGACAATACAAGCAAAACGCAATTTCCTAACATTTGAGGTATTGCTCATGCTTCAAAGTCCGAATAGAAGGTGATGAAGATGACAAAGGCTAGAAATGAAGAACAAATGTAGATGTAAATAAAACAAAATTGAAAAAACTAAGGAAACGCAATAAATTAAAATCGCGTGTGCATTTCTGCGATCCGGCTCGAATCCGGCTCTAATGCTATAGAAATACTTCAAACTAACGAGTGGGACGCTTAGGCCGTTTTTATTTTGATGTTTTGTGGGAATGCGCGGCCTGCGAGGGCTGTTGCAGAAGCAGCACAGTTGCTCTTGAGTTCTAGCCCTCATCATCTTCAGTTCTTATTTTGCAGAACCTAAAATGTTATCCGCATAAAGAAATTGCGTTGTACTTGTATTCCAAAGCGCAATTACAGGACTTGGCAAAAAGCCAAGAGCTGCACGCGACCGCGCCGCGCGGACGGTGTTAGTAAAAACGTGAGTTTGCAAAAACGGGCGGCGTAGCAAGGAATTACGACTTTCCCACGTACTCTGACCCCGTGCAGTTTTGGGCGGGGGACCACGACACATCGACAGCTGGGGGCTGATAGTCTCATACACCCTCAATGTGTTTGAGCGTACCATGTGTCTTTAAGGGTGAATAAATCAGCGTTCGCTCGTATCCCCTCCCCCCACCGCTCCCCCCCTATAGTAATAGTCAGAACGGTCTCTGGCAAGTTAAGGAGCCCTGTGGCTCACCAGACCATGGGCGTGTTGGCACAGGTACCACACACGTCTTCATGTCAAAAGAGTGGAGCATCCGTGTCTAGAGGGACAGAATATTCCTGAGGACCATGTTTCAACCAAGCTTGGAATTTTTATTTACGTTCGAAAGGTACGCTACGGGACCTAGAGTTACCCAGATCCCGCAGAAGACCTCTGGCATGCTATTCAAAGTACGCATCCAATAGAGCTGTGAGAATAATGGTGCCATAGTCAAACGTGAGAGGCAAAGAGGTAATGCGTCTAGATATGGCTAGACCTACCGCCAGTTTCGGCGCTTGTAGCGAACTTTACTTGTGAGTGGAGACGGCGACAGTGGAACCGTTCTTAAGCTGGGGAGTTGCCCAAGCACTGCGTGGGACAATCATGGGAGAAAGTTCCATCTTTCGACATCTTTGGAAGTGTCCACACATTCAACACCGCTGCCCTTTAGATGTCATAAATTATTCTTTTTGAAGATGTCTTTTGTTGGGGAACTGCTGTTCAACGCCGCTTATAAGCCATCTCAAGAATGCTGAGTAATGGGCAAAAGTCAGATCTCAGCGGAACTCGAACCCGCATCTTCCGCTGACCGGGAGAGTGTGCTATCCATTATTTCACCAGAGCCACTCTTATCCTCTCGGCTCAATGGCTTTCCAGTCATATCCTTACGTCGGGATTGGAAAGCCGGAATTCGGATACTCCATAAGCTTAGCTCGCCAAGCTTATAATGTATGTGAATTCTGACTCTCGGAGAGTAAGCAAATTGATCCTCACCCCATTCTTCTAGTGGACCTGTTATTTCTACCAGTACCCATGCCGCTCACTCGTTTAAAGCAACTACTTGCCAAACGTTCCACCGTGCAGGGTGCAAGGCTTCGGCATGAAATCTACTCGGTACAGTTTTACGCCTAATGCCGCCAGGAGGCGCTGGCTTTTGGCTGCCAGCTCATTTCAAAGTGCCTTAATCACCGAATCCGCTGAAAACTTGTAAATAGAGGTAATCTAACATCTTGACTACAATCATGATACCCACTCTTAGCGCTGGCGCTAATGGAGGACACTACGACTGTCTGCCATTTGCTAAAGCTGAATGTCATATTGGTGAACAGGTTGTTAGATTACCCCTATATACAAGTTTTCAGCAACTTTGGTGATCTAGGCACTTCAAAAATGAGTTCGCAGCCGAAAGTCAGCGCGTTCAAACGGCATTACCTTAGTTTTACTACCAGGGCTAGCATGGTCAACGAGACGGAGATGGCGTAGTTGCAAGCTGCTACACGCGTGGTACGATCGAATCCTTTTTTCACTTTTCGGGGACTGTGTATTGGTCCAGATTCGTCTGGGAGGAAAACAATACTGATTTGCATCTCGGCTGCCACCCCCCCCCCACAGGCCGTTGTACGAGCACACCGCATTCTATGTATAAGTCACTGCTCTTCTGAATACCAGTAGAATGTCTGTCACATACCGAAAAGGAGTTGATTAATAGCGATGACCTTATCCATTTTCTCTACTATGAGATTACGCTATAATTTCAGGTTGCGGCCTTACAAAGCGTGAGTACACCACAAAAGAGCTTGTCGAAGCGTGTGCAGGAAAAAGGATCATAAAGCCGGCTGATGGATTCATTTTGGTAGTGGAAAACAAATACGTTACCGAAAAGCAGCTGAACGCATTATGCTCAAAAGCTGTATATATGGAAATTTGTATCACTATATCTCGTTCGAAATTCAAACAGTTGCGTTGTCCATATCTGCATCAGCTCAAACCTTGCATGCCCGGTTGGTCCTTTATTGATTTCGAATTTCAATGATCACAGAAATTTACGCTTCCAGAGGCACCAGCCATCAACATTACCGACAACAGCAGATTCGAAAACTTGCTTATTCCTAAAGATACAATCTACCCGGAAAACAGTCTCATAATTCAAGTGGTTGGTAATCCGAGAATTCCGCTTAAGAAGTTACAAGCACTGAAGAAATGGTGTGAGCAGTGCAAAATCGAGCCGGGAAAAGCTGACAAGCCGGAAAAAGCTGACAAGCCGGGAAAAGCTGACAAGCCGGGAACTGACGGTCCACAGAGATTCGTGCCAGCGACAATGGGCACTTCCCAGCCAACAACACCCACAACACCCTCACCAGAGACAACAAAAGGCTCAACAACCCCATCAGCGACATCTGAAAAAAGTCCACAAAAGAAAGGAAAGTGTCAGCTGGAAAAACGTAGCTATAAGGATAAGGAAATAGTCCGACTTTGTGCCGGTGCGGAGATCATCAAGCCACACAAAGGATTTCCTCTGATAGTATCATCACCGGAAGTATCGGAAAAAGAATTAAATGACTTGTGCTCGAATGCCGTCTACATGGAAATCTGCATTACGATAGTCGACTCAAACTTCACGGGGTTACGTTGCCCGCGTCTACGAGAACTTCGACCATGTATCCCAGGTAAAAGAAAATTTGGTGCTGATGACGGTGAATATTCCTAAACAGCTGAGGAAAGCAAAGTTTGTATGGTATAGTAGGATGTAAGAACCGACCTTCTTACATGTGAAGAGTTAGGAGGGGGTGCCAAACACGGACAGTATAGACTAAAAACTATACTACGTGAGCTCTGTAGTAATTCAGATTTGAATATGGAAATCATCACTGTCGTGAATAGCAAGCTAAAAAGGGAGGACGTATATCAGCGCGTTTCACGATTTCGCCCTTTTCTTCTAGCTAGTAGGTCAACTTCAAGCAACTACTACTTCATATCTCAGTTAGGAAACTACCCTCTGAACTCGCGTATATTGTCCAACAAAGCCGGAAACCCAAATATAGCCTGTGTGATTTCTGACTTTCGAAGGACAGCTTTACGCGATTGCAGAAATCTGCTGTTAGTTAATCGATAACATTGCAGAGTAGTTGCTAATTAGTACCAGTGAGAAAGAAAACAGACAGCATCGTGAAGCGCCCTGATTCAGACTATCTTCTTTTATGTAGTTTTTATGTAGTGCGCCCTTCACGACAGTGATTGCATCCCCTGGAGGCTTGTTGCGTAAAGCCCAATTAAGGGAAGTTCAGTAGAGGTCATGTACATATTATAGTTTTATGTATGGCAGTAGTACCTATTGTCTGCTCCTCTGTTCCAACAGGTTTTTCCTGCATCTACTAATTTAAAGTGTTTTTGAACACTTCTTTTCAATATCATTACCTTATTTTCCACAAAAATTACTTACTGACATGAAATAAAGTATAATGAAACACGTTCGCAGCAGTCTGAATTTGGACAATAGTCAGACCCCAGCGGCTAACCCTTTGAAGCTCAATGGCACAAAGCATTGGAAAGCAGAGCGGTGAAAGCTGTGACGGTTTTGTAATGGAAAATACAACCACCTGATCAAGGGATGCGGCTTCGAGTCCCGCCTGGGATGCAACTTTGCCCTCAATCAGTATACTTGTGATAACTTTGGAGAAGTGAACCACGGAGTAGTCAGCAGCTATCATACTGATGAAAATCATTGATAATTGGAGGAGTGAAAATAACTACCGGTGAAACTAATAGTAATTGTCGCGCATGGAACAAGCTAATTATAGAAATACTCGCAATTAAACTCATCAAACTGAACATGTATTTTCCCTGCACAACATTAGCAGCGGTCATGACCACGGTGCGCTTTATACTCCCGAAAATAGGGTATTTGAAAATTAGGAAAATAAGCTATGGAAAGGTGACAGTTCGGCGATTTAAAGCGACTCTCACGTACTTGTGCATGGGATAGTTTTTTTTACTGTAAAAGCAAATCATAATACCTCCTGTAGTTCCGAGCCGTCCCGACAGAATGAGGCAATGTTCGCACCAACTCTGGAGAGCGCGAATTCTTGGGATGCTCATCTTTGGGTTTCGGCTAATTCAATGATGATTCGCTGTCTTAGGATGATTTGCCCGTGGCGCGTATGAAACAGATCTTCAAATCTGCTGTTATCTATGATAGAGAAAGCAGACCGTCCTGTAAAGACTCTATTTGTGAGAGAATTCCAGGAATAAGGCGTAAAGGCAATTTCCTTTTGGATTTGGTCCGAATTCTTTACCTGGCATGCATGGTCTCAGCTCGCGTAAGTATGGACAGCGTATTCGGCGGAATCGTGAGCGAGTGACTGTGATGCAAATTTCCATGTAGACCGCTCTCGAACATAGTGCGTTTATCTGATCTTCTGTCGTGAAGTCGTTTGACAATTCCATGATGTATCCATCGGCTGGCTTTATGATCTTTTTTCCTGCACACGCATCAATGAGTTCTCTTTCGGTGTAGTCTCGCTTCTGGAAGCCGCACCCTAGAATAGACGCGTGATTTGACGTCGCACGATTCAGTGTTACAAAATAATGAGAAAGCTTTGTAAGAATATTCTTCGTATTTAACCAAACAGCTTTCTGTTAAGAATATTCTTCTATTTAAACAAGTATGTGAGCAATGGGTTCGTAGGACGCAACAAGATTTTAGGGAAGGTTACTCACTAAGTCATATAAGACCGTCGAGGTGAGCTGATGGAGTGGTAAGTCCACGCTTACCACGCGCGTGGACCTGTGATCCAATCTGGTCGGCTCCTACTCAGGCCAAGGCCTACACCCGATCGCAGGGAGACGGTGAAGTAGTTCCAGATTTGTCTGGGAGTACTGTGTTGTACAGCTGTTTGTCTGGCCCCGCACGTTACTGTGTAGGCCATATCGCGTTCAGTAAACTACTACGGATTCTGAATGGAGGTAGAGTGCGTGCGCATAACTAAAGAGCGAAGCTGTCCTGTCATCCTCTTTGAGGTCGTCAGCCATTGTTTTTACTATTCGTTCTGCGGCCGTGCACAATAGATCACGCCAGGCTACCATCTTTGCTGGAATGCGCCATAGACCACCGAGAACATCATCAGAGCAGTAGACTGGATAATCGCATAGAAGTTTAACGATACTCGTTGGCCCTCCGCCTCCGACTGTGACAGGACGGCAGTGCTTACCTTCCTCCGTTTCTTGGGCAGCGCTCAGATTTCGCGATGGCGCAGCTCAACGCGCTGTAACGCGCGTCGACGCGCTACAGTTGCAACAACGCTCCCATAAACGCGAACTCAGCGGCAGATTGGAATCGATGATTACTGGCCGCTCGTGTATTGAAAAATATGGGGAACAGCAACGCTGGGCCGAATCACTACGGCTCTGGTACCAGTCGCACCGTTCTCGAATTGGGTCTTGATGAAAATAAAGAAGAATGGTCAGAGTATTAGGTTGGCTAATAAGTAATGGCGGTTTTTTTCAATTGAAAAATTTGTTCGAAAAGTGAAACGTTTTGCAAGCAAGTTATATATCATCTGATAGGAAACTTCTCGTAGTATAAGAATATCAAAAAAGCTTTGGTTGAGGATATAGTTTTTGTGAATTTTTTAGTCGTTGAAGTTGGAAGTGAAGTCGGCGAAAATTAGCATCTTCGACAACTGCCTCTATTTACGTCTACTCGAAGTGCTAAAATCGCTTAAGCTGCTCCATACATTCGGAAAAGGTTGAGGTAGAAGTCTCAGCAAGGGAATCTCAATAGGACGCTTTGGAACTAATTTCAAGAATTTCAAAGTTGGCAACCTTCACCTTGCCAATATTGGGCAGGCTCACGTCTGTTCCACCTGAAATTTCATGCTAATAGTTGAATTAATTGAATTTGAATTTGATATTCTAATACTACGAGAAGTTTGCTATTAAACGATGTTAAGCTTGCTTGCAAAACGTTTTACTTTTGGAACAAATTTTTCGATTGAAAAAACGGCCATTACTTATTAGCCAGCCCACTGCTAGTGGGCTGGCTAATAACTGCTAGTGGGCTGGCTAATAAGTAATGGCCGTTTTTTTCAATTGAAAAATTTGTTTCAAAAGTGAAAAGTTTTGCAAGCAAGCTTAACATCGTTTAATAGCAAACTTCTCGTAGTATTAGAATATCAAATTCAATTCAATTCAACTATTAGCATGAAATTTCTAAATAGGCAGTTGTCGAAGATGCTAATTTTCGCCGACTTCACTTCCAACTTCAACGACTAAAAAATTCACAAAAACTATATCCTCAACCAAAGCTTTTTGATATTCTTATACTACGAGAAGTTTCCTATCAGATGATATATAACTTGCTTGCAAAACGTTTCACTTTTCGAACAAATTTTTCAATTGAAAAAAACCGCCATTACTTATTAGCCAACCTAATACCACATTGTGTAAAGCTGCTTTTATGTTGTATCCCCTATCTCTCGGAATGCAAGCGGCAGGCGCCGATCGAATTCCCGTGCGGCTCTTTCGCCTTCTGTAGAATAGAGGCCTGTTGCATCAGCGCGTCGACGCGCGCTTAACAGCGCATCACTCGCGTTTGCTGCGTGAACACAGTCCCTGCCAAATCGCCGCTCCCCTTCGCATTCACTCTTCTTCCGTCCTTCAGCATGAATCATAGAGAAATTCTGCGTCCGGCAGCAGATGGGATAGTTACATACATTGGGGCTCAACATGCGGTGTTTCAGAGGAGAGGCGAAGCTAGCTCTGGCAAAATTAAGAAATGTCACGATGTATAATAATTGCTACGTTGCGGATTGTTGCTGGTTGACTGGGACTACTTTTTTCACCGGTATACTTGTTCCCCTACTAGCATGTAGCAAGTTAATCGATAATTTTTGAAGAGATGATAAGAGAAAGGTAGTGTGATTAAGCATCCAGGTGGTAGACATACATGCATGGTTAGGAAAGCGTCATCCCATTTCAAAAGTCAAAAGAAAATAGAAAGAAGATGATATTGTTGAGACTTACCAAGTTCAGCTGATAAGCGTACAAGCCATGGACCACAGTAGTTCTGAGCCTTTGTATAATTAGAGTTGGAGACGAGGGTTTCGCTATTCGCAGGTCAATTCTCTTTGGCGAATTGGAATTCAAGAATTTGAAGCGTCTCGAATTCCCAGTTGTCCACAATTCGTATAGCTGGCCGACCTGAGAACAAACTTAGGAGAACTTCATTATTACTCATGAAAGAAGAAAAAAAAAACTAGCGCAACAACGCCAAAATCACAGTCCCTCAAATCATTGCTTGATATTCTTTGACTCAGGTACCGAGCCAGTGCAGACTAAGGCTCTACGCTCCTGTAGCTGCCATCTGCCCTGTTCTAGAGAATTTTCTCAAATGACTCTGCGCTGAATTCCCACCCAGCAAAAGTACTCCGTGAAAATGTAGAAGCATGTGGAGAATCGGTTCCGATCTGATACTCAAGGCCTAATAAAGTGATGAGGCTATCCCTGTTACGAAGTGACCCTTTCCTAGAGGACTGAGCAGGAAAGACCCCGCAGGCCGAGTGATCGCCGCTATCGTACTCCTCGTGCCTGAATTAATTCCCCTAGTCGAAGGTGTCACTTGCCCCATTATGCCGCTTTGACAATTACGAGTGGAAGCCTGCATCTCAACCCCAACAGGCATCTATAGGAGGTCTTGAAGGAGTTGTCAGA